AATTATAAATAAAATTAATGACCACCTTTGCATTTCTAGTAATCTTATATGCGATGAATGAATAGCCGACATCGTACTGTGAAAAAATAAATTGCAGATGCCGTCTGCATTATAATTCATATGTGCATCTCGCAAATTAAATCTCCATCTGTGGGTATGCTTAAAAAAGAATGTAAGAGTTTACTCGTACATGAATTCGTATTCAAGTAGAAGCATTGAAAAGATACATTGTCGACATGGACGAAAACATGATTACAACTGGTAAAAAAAGATGTCATCATGTGCGTATGAGGCAAACAGGAAGGAAAGCGTAAACCACGCAAAAAAATGAGTTTGCCGCTCGTCGCGCACCTGCTCTACCTGTCTCATTTGATTTGTTGCATATCACTCCCGACGCAGCTGTAAGTTTCTTGATCATCCGACGCCAATTCTCAGTCTCGCGGGACTTTAACGAGTTTTTCCTAAGAAGCTAAGGAATATTAAGAGTCTGTTTCGTCATTCCGCGTGAAGTTGCAAGTCGTCCCTTCTCGATTGACGCAATCTCGTTTTTCGTTCAATTCCACGTGGATTTCATTGCCGCAAGCTCCCCGTGAGTAAACAAGGTCAGCAGCGGCGAGGTATCGCATTTCATTGCCAGCATTTTATTCTCTGGCGCTGCTTGGAGCTTTGATCGAATGATTCGTGTAAAGCAAAATGTGATTAGTTATTGACTTTGACCTGACTTGAAGCGGGAAAAAAACTTTATCTTGAGATTTCCATCTCGACCTAACGAGATTTGCTGACTTTGATGATTATCTACTTTTACCTACACGGAAACTCAACTCGCTTGATAATTAAATCCGTATAAGCTAATAAAGCACTTTATATTCGTACAGTTATACGAATTCTATAAGATTTTCACGACATACGCAAGGTCCGAAACAAAATTGCGAAAGTGCGGTAATAAAAGCGTCTTGTGTACTTGTAAAAAAACTAACTCCACCTTTACGATTCAACTCGAAAACCCGGCCACATAAAAGTATACTTTAAAAAAAAGTTGTATACTCGAGCTCCCGTACCCTGCGCAAAAGGATACCTGAACAACGCAAAGAGAACACGTTAAAAAAAATCCCGACGAACTTGCGCACGTGAGATCCTTTTGATTATTAACAAAGCATCAGCAAGCTACTTGGGTATAATAAACTGTCATCGCTCACACATATAATTCGAAAATTAAGAGCTGCAAAGTTGTTCCCCCATTATCCGAACTTTCTATTCAACGAATTCCATTATCTGTTAGATAGAGCTTTACGTAAATATTTATCAAAGATTAATTAGCAACGAGGCCTGGCTCGTTATTTTATAATGAGTTTGATTAGCAGGATCAGCGGGAAAGAAGAGTGTATAGAGTAGACAAAAAAGGAGAAGCGAATCGGAGATTTGCCGAGGATATCGAACGACGTGTTTGTTCCATCTGTCAGATATAAATTCCCATCCGCCTGGCTTTGTAAATCTTTCCTCATCCTCTGAAATAGTATCGAGATGACGCGCGGGCACGTGAGCGAGAAAGAGGGAGAGAATGAAAGAGAGAGAGAGAGAGAGAGATAGACAGACGCATCAGGGTAGATATAGGTTGCTACGAACGACCCTTATTCTCGCGCGAGAGCTTATTTGCCGTGTGGAGAGCAGGCGCGTGCTTCGGCTGCTTTGTTTATCGTGGGAATCTGTTTGTTAAACCGACCATTCGATTGTGTTATTTGATCTGCGCAATGGATACGTGTATTCTTTCGCCCCGGAGATAAACACGAATAGTCTTTATTGAAACTGCTGTTCGGCTTCGTTATACTTGATGAAAATCGTCTTCTCTCTCTCTCTCTCGCTCTCTCTCTCTCTCTCTCTATGTACGCTTCGCAGGATTCTCGAAGTGGATCGTTATGTTTTCGAATAAGATGCAACGCAAACATTTCCTTTGCATAATCGTATCATTTTCATTGTATTTCATGCGCTGGCTGTAAATTATGTAATGCCAACTTAGCTGCCGGGTAGCAGACGCCAGGAAACAGAGATACTTTATCAGATTATAAGTTTATTTATTACATAACGAAACGAGAAATTTCAGCGTTTTATCGAGCCTCGCTTATCCGCTTATCCATGGTATAGTTATCATTTTGCATTGATGTTTCTAAAGCCGAGGTGACGTATTTAATCGGATTTCAAGGATATTGTTACTCATATTTGAATATTTGCGATACATTGGCCTATACTTGTAGGATTATGTAACGAGTATTTGAATACACGAGAAAACGTAAATAAAAATAGAATATCCCGGGTAGCCGCGAGTAAATTTGAATAAAAAAACCATGCTACGTACATTGTTCGAAGGTGTATATAATAAATGATCTCTCATTGAATATCCCTGCAAAATCACAAGGGTTCCTTAAAAAAGTTTGCGATCGATCATCTCCGTCTTCATTTTTCTCTGGCTCCAGATAAGGGATAGCGATAATAATCAGTATCTTTTCAGCGAGCCGCGCAGACGGATGGATCGTTCTTTAGTAACAGGTGGCTTGATAGAAATTTAATGGCGCTCGTCTCACTTGCTCGCTCCGCTAAGCTTTCTTCCTTTTTATCTTTTTCTGAAAGTTAGCGTCAAATGCGAGCTTCCATTCCCTTTGTCGCGTACGCATCCATTATGGTTTCGATCAAATGACTACTGTGCAAGCTTAATTCTGAATCAAAGCTCCACAATCTCGTCTGTTTGACCTACATTGTTAACATCGCCAAGCTCTCGCGAGTCTATACAAATGAGCGCTCTGGAACGCAATTACGCCGAGCGTATAATAATCGTAAGCTAAAAATACGATGGGACTTTATGAGGTGAAGGTCTGTTTATTTTCCCTTTTTTTCATTGGTCGCGTGAAATTATGAAATACGCCCCATTAAGGTCGCAGCCGCGCGACCCACGGAGCTTTTATTCCTCTCAATAAAACTGCCTTTACGACCTTTTTATCTGTAGACGTACAACTGCTCGATTTACGAGTCAACTAATTTGTTTGCTTTAAACAGCTCCGGGGGACGGAGACATTCAGGAAGAGGCCAAACGACGATCCAAAGCGTCGTGAGAAACGTAACGTTTCGTTGAGGCGCGATGACGTCTAAAAATGGGACGTTATTGTGCGCGCACGCGGCCGCGGACGCGCTGCTAAGCCCATTCCATTATTCAAGGCGCCCGCCCGAGAAAACGTACGGCTGAGATAAATGAGGGACCCGGATTTTCTCGGACTTTGCCGCACGAGAGTACTCTTGTATTTTCCCTACTCCTTGTTTTTTGCGGCTTGCGTTCTCATTATATACATGTTCTCTTTGCGGTACCAAGCGCGCGAAATTTCCGGCCCTCTAAATTTCAACTTTTCGTCATTAAGCCTGATTTATCGAGCGAAAAACTTGAGCAAATGTTGCCTCGCTGCTTGGCCGCCGTGCGCATACAGCTTCATGACTTCATTGAGCGTTAAAACGCGGCAACGCTCGGGGCATAAAATCGACCGCTCGTCGGAATAATTAATATCTCTCGTTTCAATACAATTCTAAATGAATCAGCTTCGATCTAAAATCCTGCCTCGATGATCGACGAAGCCGCGAAGGTCGAGAAAAAGCTTTCAAGCGGAGGAAACTACCAAGTTCATAATTCATCTGGCGCTGGACGTTTGCCAGTCGCGATTGAAAGAGAGAGAGAGAGAGAGAGAGAGGGAGAACGAGAGAGAAGCGACATTGACTTGCCGCTCGGTAAATTGAATACGTCTGACAAGACTTAAAGACTCGCGCGCGCGCGTACACACACATACACACACAAGGGAAGCTAATTAACCTGAGTTGCGAATATGCAAATGAAATGAAGGTATAAGCCAAGCGCGCGCGACGGTGCGTCAAATCAATTTGATTTGACATGTTTGCCGTGTAGCGCGTCCGTCAAACGTTCAAATTGATTTCGCTCGGTTTGCGCTGTGTGCACAACGAGCAGTCCAGACGTCAATCGCCAAAAATCAATGGCGTGTTCGTACAGCCTGTCGTGGAATCGATAAACACGAGAAAGCTCTTCTATGCTCGTGACTCGTGCGCCACACAGACTAGCCACCGTCTTGTCAAGAAGTCCGCACACAGCTCAGATTAATCCTGCTATTTGGCCAGTCAACTTAGTTGCACTTTATCAACCGGTCTTATTGGATTTGGATGAAGTGACTTGACATCAAACCATGTTCGAGACACCGATTAATAACGCTCCGCCGATCCATCTAAACACGCAACTACTTCCCCCAAGAAAATGCTGTCCCGCACTCTAGGGATATTAGCCAAAAAACAACCTCTCTATACTAACAATAGCCTCCTTCTTTTATCTGTTTGCTACACTAATACCACATTTTACTTTCTTAATACTACTTCATCTTTATTGCTTCAGATTTATAAATAATTAATCGATAATGATTGAACGATACAATCAGGAAATTAAATTTTTGACTATTCTAAAATGACACGTCTTACCTGAAAAAAATTCGAATTAATTATTACCACGAACGACGATGGCATTTCCTTCGGGTAAGCGTAAGATTGATTAATGAAATAAACAAACACGATCGAAACAAGTGAATAAACAATTGACAGCACCCGAATATAAAATAAGATGTTGCATCGTAGTAGATGTCACCCATAGAGAGACCAACTCCCTTGAATGTGATAAATGTGTCCGATTAGAACTAACTTATACTACTTATATTAGACAAGTGAAAATGTTGCTTGGTAATCTTCGGTGGCAAGTGCGATGCCGATATAGAGGTGAACGTAAAATTAAAATGTATCACAGTCGTTGTGACGCCCACACACTCGCATAAAAAGAATCATTTGAAAAGAAGAAAAAAACAAAAGGAAGACACGATTAGAAAATTTTGAGAAAAGAATATGCTAGACACTTGTTTTATTTTTTGTTTACTCCGCACGTAAAATGCCTGTGTGTCTGTGTTGTTTTGCAGGTCAGCCAGAGCCTTGCCATGCGATGTCGCTGCAGAGCCCCAGACTTCGACACTACAGGTCGAATACCGCATTCAAGCACATGTTGTCTTTTTCATTTTGCCATTCTTTCTCCTCCTTTTCCGTTACTTGCATCTCTTTGTAGCTTGTTTCTCTTCTTCTCTCTGCTTGCTGTTATCCTCCACTTTGTCACACGCTCTTGCCTGGACTCTTTAGACAGGACTTGTACATTTCCATTCTATACGCCATGGAGATCATAGATATCGCGTACACGTACTGCAGCCGGTTGTTTACATATACTTAGAATGAATTTCATTTGTTCGGCGTTGCTTGCGCAAAACTCGTTCGACATTCCTATTACTACGGAAAATTACTCATCAAAATTTCCGCTAATATACATTACATAATAATCACCTTTAATTGTCTAACACGAGCATATACATCACGAGCCACTGAAATTGCGAAAAGGTACAGAGCGTTTGATGAATGTCGATCCGTGTGCATTAAACCTTCCCAATTAATTAGCAGAATCACGCACGCTCGTGTAATTCTTCTGCTTTTCGCGCCATTGCCTCTATCCGTTGAAAACGAGTAGCTTCTGCTCGTATAAGCTATCCACGTTATTTTCACGGACTAAAGCATGAGAAAGCACATTCATTGATGAATTGCAAATTCAGCTGGAGCATGGCTCGTCTCATAACGTCTGTCACTTGTGAGCTCAACTTTCAGAACGCACGCGCACTTTCTCACTTAGCTACACTTAAGCTGACAGCTCTTCTTGCCAGTTCTAGATCTCTTGCTCCTCTTGTTTAAAAGCGAACAAGAAAAAAACTGAACAGTTGCTTCTCCTCAACGAGAGTCTTCAAAAGTCAACGCTGCGATGCACGTTATACTAACGTTGGTGTTTTGTACGCATTACAGAGCCAGCATGACGGCGATTTGTTTCGTCTGCAACCTGCCGATCCTCAGCCACCAGGTTGGTCTGGTATGGCAAGGTGGCAATGGCTGGGACGACATCGTACGCGAACAAGTCGAGGAGTCGACCCTCAAGCAACGGCTGGGTAAGTGTTTTATCTGGATGCTCGATCAAAACTACAAATATTCGGAATATCTCGGGGCTCGAGCGAACTTTACTAAAGTATCTGCCGGCGCATTTTTCACTTAGCTTCCAGCCGCAAAATCCCTGCCGCCAAGCGTTCTTTTAATGTACTTCGTATTTGTTGCCCGTCCGCTCGCTCCGCTCGGCATTCTTCGCGCGGAAGCGACCATTAAGTCACCGTGGAAAGTTTGCCGTGAGCTTATTTTCAGTGGCGTGTCTCCCGAGATACGAGTGCATGCCCAGCCCGGGGTATTAATGAAGAGATCTACCGTGACCTCGGTGAGAAATGGCCGAGCGTTGGCACGTGGTGCGTCGTGGAAATTGATAATGGTCGCAGAGCTGAATAAGGGGCTGTCCCTGGTGCCGTGAGCTTGATGTTTTTTATGAATCGCAAGGCATACATTTGACCCAAGCTCGTTAATCATTGCCATGGAAGAGATTTATTCACCGAGAATCTCGTGTCATCGAGCATTCTAGCGTGCAAACAAAAAATAAATGCAGCTCGCAAATCCACGGCATCCATTTTTGATTCGAGCAAGCGGAAAGTTGGTGCTTCTTACGAGGAGAAATGGGTTACTAGCTTGGTATGCACGATATGTACATTCGCGGTATTACAGCCGAGAAAATTACACTTTTAGCCATTTTAAAAGTATTTTGAGAACGTCGTGAAAATTATTTTTATCCTACAAATAGAGCGCAGTGCTTCTATCTGGCATTTAATCTCGATCCCAATTATAACGAGTATGAAATTGCAACCGTTGCAGGCACAGGTCGGAGGGACTCGGCCGCGCAGATCTCGCCGCCGAACGAGCTGCAGGAGCAGTCGCCGATAACGCAAGGTCGTCGGCGTCGCTCATCGCTCGCCCAGCTGACGGACATCCTTCGCGAGTGGGGTGGCGGCGGCAGCAGCAGCAGCAGCAGCACGACAAAGCAGGGCGGCAGCACGCGCAGCAACAAGTTAAGCCGTCGCGAGACTCTCGCCGACATCGCCAAGTCATTGCCGTGGTCGCGCCAGACGACCACCGAGGGACACGTGAATCCTCGCAAGAGACGTGAAAGCTCGGTCGACAGCGGCATCAGGAGCTCGGTGTCCAACAAGTCCAGACGGGATTCGGCTATCAGCGACTTCAAGAGCGACTTGGCCAGGTTCTGGAGCAAGAAGGATTCGCAGCCGCAGGCGCAGGCACCACCGACAGTCATCTCGCCTACACCTCGACGCGGTGAGCTCGAAAAATCCCTGGCTCTGCATCATGCGGACTGTGCCAAGTAATAACGCTGACTACGAGACTCCGCGCGGAGAAGTCAATTGAATACCGCTGCAGCTCTAGCGACCGATAATGGGGACTTTCTTTTATCTGTTTTTAAGCTCTCTTAGGTGCAGCAGGCAATTAGACCGAGCTCGTTATCCGCGTGGATATTCATGAGTAAATCTTGGTCGGCAGAATAATGGCCTAACTAATCTTGATTTTCGGGAGTCTCAGCACGATTATTACAAATTGCTGATGCGTACAAGTCTTGATTAGACAAGTATCAAACAGATTTCCACACCAATTGATACTTTCATGTTTCTTCGAATGAAGCTTAATCTCTACTATTTATCTTTCATTTAACGCGGCTCACTTTTCCACTGCCAACCCAGAAAATTAATACTGTCGAATATTCTCTTTTTCTTGTATCAGGAGCACCAAATGAACCTGAAAGTGATATCAATTGGTGATGACAATTAAAAGTCCAAATTTTGTTTACGATTTGATTTATTATATGTTGAAATTATGCATTCAGGATTAACATAATGGTTAAAGAAAAAATATAATGTGATTGTATTTCAGGCTCAGGAGAATCAAAGACCTCGCGACGAGGCTCAGGCGAGAGCGCGAGGTCCGCGAGGCGGGACTCGGTAATCGGCCCGGGTGGCGAGCGGGTGCATAACTGCCGACATCACAGGCGTCGTAAGTCGCAACAGTCGGTCGACTTAAACCAGAGTAGCTGCGGGGCTGTCGCAGCTAAGTACTACAGAAATGATCAGCGACCCAGTGCCTCTAGTACCGACAGCGCCACTAGCAATGCCGTTAGGTGGGATATTGATTTTTTTCCTGTCTACTCCTCCGTTGATAAGTACGATAAGCTCGCTGGGGAAGCTTTTCCGTCTCAAATATCTAGTTAAGGCAATGCAGTTTTGTGGGACGTATCAGTCGAGACGGATTTTACTTAATATTTCGAATTTGTCAGTCCATCCGAAAGAATGCATCTGTACTTAAATGTTTACTAAAATAGTTGCATAAATGTCTATTTTGCGATATTCGAGGGTTTCACTTGATAACTGCAAAAAATATAGGTAAACTATATCATAATTTCAGAGAACATTTGGAAGCTCAGAGAAGCAAGGAAGAAAGATCAAGCAGTTTCGATTCAAAAACAGGTCCCACGACGGCATCAACAACGACAACGGCGGGCACAACGGTATCGACGTCGACGTCAATAAGCCCAGCTACGAGATCCACGATGGGTTCAACGTCGATACCGGCAACAACAGCAGCCAGATCGGCGATGGTGTCGACGGCAGTGAGTACAACGTGCACGAGTCGAGACACTAAACACTTGACTCTTGAGCCAACGGTTCACCCGCCGATTGTCGTATCGTCGGTCACACCGCCGAGCGTTTCTCCCGTGGCCACGGTCAACAATCTGCCTCTACCTGGAACCTCACCGTCGGGTGGCTCGAGTCCTGTTGGCTCACCAAATATCAGTGGCACACCCTCGCACCCTTTGCTCACTACGCGCAGAGACTCGACTACTCAGGTCTGACTCGTTCTTGATATTTCTACTTGAACTTTTAAACGCGCCGATAACGTAGGGATTCGTTGTCTTAATTTCGATAACTAATCATTTTCTTTTTCTTTTCAGTGTTATTACAAAACTAGAGAAGCATCGCCGAATAAACTAAGATTGACAAGACAAGCGACAGCAATAGACGAATCACTACCACCACCAGGCCGAAGGGGCAGTCAACCTACTTTGTCGCCGGATCCCGACGATGGAGGTAAATTCAATTTCAAAGAAAAATCTTTCGTATTGACCTACTTTGCTCTTACAACTTATTTGATTGTTCGGAGGTCGTAAGGCAAGGAGAGATTCTTTGAGCCCTGATTCTGCATCGTACCCGCGACGTCGTGAATCTAGGAGTCACTTGAGTCCTGACAGGAGAGGAGACTCTGAGAGGAGAGACGTAAGCCCTTTGAGGTCAAGGAAAGGCAGACTGAGAAGACAATCGACGTCAATTGCCGGACGACCGCCGAGGTTCACTACAATTTTTCATCACTATTCAGGTGTTCTGAATGTGTTATTATTACTTGTTTTCTTCTTTCTCGACAGATCTCCTGATAGCTCGTCATGCTCGTCGCGAGATCCCAGCCCATGTGGTCGGCCGCCCAGTACAACTCAACACGCACCTGTGATACGAAGACAATCAACGACAGAGGAGATTTTGATAGCACGGGGCTTTCGTCGGCAAAGTACCACCGAGGAGATGATTCGTTGTCGAAACTTTCGTAGGCAAAGCTCTCAAAGCGACGATCAGGTACTAAGGGTATATATTCCAATGACTGTCGTGCTCAGGATCATGGCTTTTTATACTACCTATATTTTTAGTTCTTTTTATTTTAGTAAAATATTGTTGGTAAATAGAATATTACGTGCAGTGTAAATATTCATGATTAACTCGTTAATTATACCATCTTAACATTTTTGTAAACTATGATTAAAAATGGTTCTATGAAACATTTGTGAAGATTGAAAAACATGATTTTAGTGTTATTAGCAAACGTTTCATTTGCATTATCGAGTCCATTTTTCAAAACTTACTTTAAAAATTTTGTCAGTGCTGTTTATCATACGATTGATGTAAATAATTATTGAACTTATAATTTGTTTATTTCCAAAGTCATTGACACAGGAAATATCAGACTAAGTTGATGATTTTCTCGTAGGTACAAAGATATCGCGGTCGTCGAGACAGTTCGGCGCAGATAACAGATGGTACATTTGCATCTATGACAGTCGAGACATCCAGTACATTTTTCGACACTAGCACGCAGACCGGTAAGATGAAAAATAATTGATTTGCATAATGGGATCGAAAAACGGTAGAGGAGTGGGGCGATCCATTGATAATAATATATAGAAGAGTTGCAGTAGAAGGAGAGAAAAAGAGAGAGGTTTCGAAAGTTGGCGCCGAGTGAATGTTGGTGGGAAACGAGGGATGAAAGTTGATAGGGTTGGCCGCTGGCGCGCTATAGGAGGGTAAACACTCGAAGAACGCTTGCGCTGCTTGGACTGTCGAGTAGAGTCGAGTCGAGTGGTGAGCCGCTTTTGCCTTCGGCGTGCATCCACGAGGTAGCGCTTGCAGCCGTTCGTTGATAAATTCCTCGACTGATACTCGCTGGTCTGCTCGAGGCAAAGCAGCAGCAGCAACTCAGTCACTCAGTACATTCTGTCCGCGAGAGCGAGACAACAGGCGACTACGGCTACGAAGGCTTCACGGCGACTACGGACTGCTTTCGTGAAACGAGGGAAAAATAATTTGGTGGTGGTGGTCGGCGAGTGAGTGCGAGATATAAACAAAAGCTCGTGCGTTGCCCCGATGAGTGTAGATATGTGCTGCTGTTAATGCTTTCACTGCCGCTACTGCTGCTACTACTGTTGACAAAAATGAGGCGACGAAGGTAATTCAGGCCTAAGTCTTGCGAGTAATCTTGTCAAGGTCGGTATGTGTGCCAAGGTTAGATTGATCCATTCTAGGCTTTGCTCATTTCTGCCTCTCTCTCTCTCTCTCTCTCTCTCTCTCTCTCTCTCTCTTTCTCGCTCTATCTCGCTCACTCTCTTTCTCTCTATCGTTATCTCTCTTTTCATTGCTATCGAAGTGCGAGAGGAAAAAATAAAGCGAGCGCGAGTGCTATCGATCGAGAAGGCATGCAAGCAAGAACCCACCCATCCGCGAAAGAGGACACAACCACTTGTAGAGAAAGGATTAACAGACATATAGACAGCGCAAGAGAGAGAGAGAGAGAGAGAGAGAGAAAGTGAGCGAGAGCCGGCTTATCGCGTGTCGAGACACCGTTTCTTACGAGCCAGCCACCCACTTATCACCCACCACGATATGTTTCATTCATTAGCTGTGAATTTTGTTGACGTGGGCGAGCCAAATTATCCCGTCTGTGTTTACTCTCGAGCGCGATGTATTGACTATTTTCGCATGAACATGCGACTTTCTATTTTGAACTCGTTATTGGTATACCGGCACCGATTATCGATTAGTTTCCCTATCGATGCACGCATCCACATATAAGCTCTTTCATATCCGTTAAACAAAAAATAAATAGACGACGTAAGGTTTTCTTCCCATTTGCACTTCATTAACATCCCAGCTAGTGCGCTTTCTTCATTACGTTAGTCTCTGCATCGGATAGCATTCAATTGAAATCTGGATCCCGAAAATACTCATGCTAATGAAGCTAGACGAGCCACAATAAGATCGGAATGTTATATGTTTGAAGATTTCTCTTCTGGTAAATTAACCAGCAGCGTGTTTTTCTTCGCTTCTCCTACCCGAAACGCGTTATTCACTACGAGAAACTAATGAGGATTCCACAGTCCTTGAAAACCATTCATTCTACCTGCTAATAAAATGCACGCAATTATTTCTCTTCGGTCGAGCCGAATGGGAGAGAGTTAGAAAAAGAGGAAAATCTTCCCTTTTAATTTCTTCCATACTTCGAAATCAATAAATCGTCACAGCTAACGCGACTCAAAGTACCGTCGAGGTGACGATTAATCGTAGGAAAAACGTCGCTTCGCTTGTCTCTTTACATTGATAATCTGATCGCGTGGCCATGCTCATTTATCATTTCACTGATGTACAGATCCTTTCCGTTGCTTCTGCTGCTGACGCTAGCGCGCGAGCGCTTTCACTACTCTCGGTCGTCGCTGACGAATTAGCGTACCGTCCATCGGATTCCCATTGGTCCCGGGAGCTGCGATGCGAGACATGAATCAACTCTACACCGTATTTACACTGTCGTATACACACTCGCCGGCTATCGATTGCTTTGGTGATCGGTTTTATATAACGAAGCAACGCGGCACTCGACTGCACTTGTTACAAAAGCTTTTGCCTATGGGAGGGCGAGGGACAAGGAAAAAAAAGACCATTTGTTTGCATTTTATTTCTTTTTCGTATGGCGACTGATGAAGTGTAATGGAAATCGGGACTGGCAGAGCGAGTGTGTCGAGGACACACTCGTTGTGCCATGGAGGCCGATTGCAAGTGACGTGATTACTCGCACTGCATAACCCCGAATCTTCGGCCCATTAAGGCCGCTCGATATGTTCCCCGGCAATTTTCAAACAATCGTCTGGTCGTTCCTGATGAACTTCCGGAACTCTGGCTCGCTTGCTCGCATACGGAAGAATTGATGGCCGGCCATTTGTTTGTATTATAAAGGAAAACGAGCCATGTACGGACGAATCTCGACGGCGGACAAACGCGCCCATATAATAGCCGACCGTCAATCACACGCGCGCAATCAAGCTTCCACGAATGTAAGGGTCAATAGCCAGGGCATAGAGCACCATTGATTTTCCAACGATGTGAAAAGAACCGAGTGAAAAATAGAATCTCGCTGCCCGAGTGGCGCGCGCGAGCAAGAGAGCTAAGACACTTATGGATACGGCAGTGGAGGCGAACGAGGAATAGGTTGCGTGCGCGAACTCTCAATGCCAAATTCAATTGCCGAATCAATCGAATTAGCGATCCAATCCCTGCTTAATACCTCCCATACGGCTAATACGATTTTAATCGAATAACAAATTCTTTTCCCCTTTCGCCTGTTGACGGACCGAAACTCTCAAGGATATGCTAGCTTTCTTTTTTTCCGCCTCAGAAATTCACGAGGGTCGTAAAGTTGCTTATTTGCTCGGAATTGACGGACTTCTTATTGACGTGCTTCACGCGAGGAAAAAATAATTCTGTTGCTGTGTTTGCATATCGATGGGCAAAGACGGAAAGAAAACAAAACTAGAAAGAGCTTCACGCGAACACTCAAGTGGAAAGTTGGCCAGTCTGACCGAACTCTGATTTGCTCCACTGAAAATCGAATGATCTGGCTTTCAAGCTTACCTGAGCTGGCACTCGACAAATCTAAATAGTTTATGGAGGTTACGCTTGATCAACTGGGTGAAATTCTCGTAGCCTTGGATCAGCTTGCACTGGGTAACTTTTCGCTCCGAAAATAAAAACAGAGAAAAAAAAAAAAAAAAAGAGCGATCCTTCTCGCTCGAGCTATTGAGTTATCGTCGAGTGCCGAGCGCCGTTATGCATAAAAAGTGAAAACTTAAAAGTTTGAGCTGCGGCGCACGCGATTGAGTTACAAATGGAATCTGCATGGTCGTTATCAGCCATGGAAATTGATTCGCGCCTTGAACTCGAATCCTTTTAGGAACCAAGCACACCTCGCGGCTTTAATGTGCACTGCCTTCTCTTTTACTCTCTCTCTCTCTCTCTCTCTCTCTCTCTCTCTCTCTCTCTCTCTCTCTCTCTCTCTCTCTCTCTCTCTCTCTCTCTCTCTCTCTCTCTCTCTCTCTCTCTCTCTCTCTCTCTCTCTCTCTCTCTCTCTCTCTCTGTCACTCCTTTTCTTCCCGCTTGTGAATTACGCTTTTCGCTTCGTTTGTCGGCAACACATTCTACTGCGCGAGTGCTTTTTTCAATTAAGCTGAAAAAAATTTGCGAGTCAAACGGTCTGCCGCGCCTGCATGGCTCGAATAAACACAATGCTCTATTATCGAGTGCCTTCCTTCTTTTCTCTCTCGTGTTCTTTTTTCGGGGAGACTCGGCAGCAGCGAAATAAACAAAAAAATAGCGAAAAGCCTCACTTGAAAGATTAGACTTGCTAAATAGAAGGCGATAAAACATCGGGGCGCGAGCCCGCACGAAATTTTCGTAATCTCTCCGAGGTAAATTTTTTACCTGACCCTTGCCGTCCTACGCGCATGTTTGTACGTGTCTCTTCGGCAAGCACTAATACTATTTTTTACCTTTGTTTCGTATGGCCCACATGAAGATAAGTAATAAATGGGACGAAGCAAGAGAGTGAAAGCGCGAGAGGGAAATTGGTATGTATATGTATATATAGAGGATTATCCGTTATCGCCGGACCGATATAATCAGTTAATGGAAAAACTTTTCTTGCGAGCTCTACCTTCTTGGACTTTTGTCATCAATATTGATTATGGAAGCTCGCTCGACAGTATACACTGACGTTGCGCGACACGTATCATTCCTCCTCTCTTTTTTTTATAATTCAAAGGCGCGCGCTCGCCAGCGATAATTGAGATAGCAGTTCGCGCGAAGGCGCCGCGTGCCTATCGATTTCTCCATGTAAAACGAAGAAATAACACTGCGTTGTCGTTCACCGTGGTAAATAGCCGTCGCTTGCAGAAAACTGCCACTCATAAAATAATGCTTCATGTAGAGAGGCGGGCGCGCAATGACCTATAACATCTCCGCGTATAATCACGAAAATTCCTCATTCTTGCAATGGAGCGCCCGTAAACGAATCGACGCGATAAATTCCATAATAATGATATTCGTCGCCCTCTCTCTCTCTCTCTCTTCGGTTAGAACGTCGTGTCGGAACTCATATCAAAATTCTTGCTGTACGCGCAAGAATGCGAGCGTGAGAGCGAGAAGGAGAGAAAGGGAGAGCCACACCCTCGGTGGAGTCGTCTTCTCGCACAGCCTATACTCATGAATTAGTCAACTTGTTTACTCTCGTGCACGCGATCGGCGATCTACGTCTATTTACCTTGTGGCTGCGGTGGACAACAGTTTTGGAAGCGCGATAAAAGTATCTCACCCTTGCCGTTCCATGACAGTTCAATTATCGTCGAGATCCGCATCACGCGACACCGAAACATTCACTAAAATCGTCGCTCTGTTTACAAGGGTGACGCGGATAAAAATAGTTTATCGTCACGTGAGACTGCTTATAACTAAGTTGCTCCTCTAGCTCCTTTATATCCTTCGTTTTCGCGCAGTTGGGCCGAAAACCGCAATCAAAGTGGATCGAGTCTAAGCTTGAGCCCATACATCATCGTCACACGTCCGTATATTTACACGGGAGATATAGTCATTGGAAATCGATGCTCGTCTCTCTCTCTCTCTCTCTCTCTCTCTCCCTCTCTCTCTCTCTCTCTCTTTCTCTCTTCTTGCTTCACTCTCACTCTTTATTTGTTCCCATTTATTATGAACGAGAAGAACGTGCGCTGAATATATTATTGATCGACAACCGCGCTCGGGAAGTTAAATTTCATATATATTTCGTCGCTCTTGCTCCCCATCTCTATTGCAGTAAAAAATTGATGCGATCCAATTTTTTTTTCCTTCGCTCTGTCTTTCTCGATACGAGAGCGGCTCGGTTTCGACGTCTAGCTCTAGTTATACGCCACATGGGACTTCATTATACCGACCAATCCATTTTCGTAGAATAAAGACACGTTTGTTATGCAATCTATCGAAAGCCCCATGAACTTCCCAGAATACACGCTAACACGAAAAAATGAAAATAAAGAATAAGTAACGCATTTCGAAGAAGTGTTTGTTTGCCGATTAGATATTTATACGAACACGCACTTGAGCAGCAATTAGAAGCGTAATAAATGACTTAGCGAGGCAAATGAGAATGCAGTCATTTCCCCAGGTAGCTGTTCTAATTGCGCATCCTACTGAATGAAGAGGCGGTAGCGATCACGTAATCCATTGTATTTTGTTGTGGCACGAGTGCCAAATCGGTGGAAAATCAACTGGTATAACGATGGCAGCGATGACGAAGCTCGGCCTCGTAGGCCGCACTACGCGCAGAAATATTATCGTATTCGTGTCATTGTCATCGAGACGCGACATGTGCATGCCTTACACGCTGGACTTGGAATGTGTGTGCTTGCAGATCCATCGCCGCTTTACGACAACAACCACTACCACGAGGAGTGCCTAAAATGTAACAGCTGCGGCCTCAACCTCACGGGACCCAATCAAAAGCGGGCACGCAGGTACATAAGCACACATACGTACACTCGCACATCTGCTCGCTCGCTCGCTCTGCCGCTCACTTTCGTGGCCAAATTTCTTATATCACCCGCGCGACCGCTCTCCAGTGGATCATAGCTTGATTCCTGAAAAAAAAACTCAAGACTGCGCCATCTCATTCGTCTTTCTCGCTTGCTTACGCAGGTTCAAAAATCAAATACTTTGCGACCTGCACTTTGCCGACGTGGCGCTGATGGAGTGTTCGGACTTTATGCAACAGTTGCGCAGCTTTAAGCCACAAAGTTTAGGCTGCGCAGTTGCCCGAAGAAAGTCGTCGACCACTTTGATATTCCCGCTTCCACCGCAGGCTTGCACAGGTACGTTAATCCTCTCTCGTGTGCTACGATTCAATTCCGCCCGCTCGCGCTCGTTAATGATAATGACACGGCCGAGCCTCGCAAATTGTTCAAATGAAAACTAAAAGCAACTGTAATAACGCAATTAAAACTGGCACCTTTTGATTGTTTTCATCGCTCTTATTGTTTATCATTCGGCTTTAAGGAGACCGACCTCCCACTTATTTTTCCCGCTCTCAATTTTCTCGTGAAAGAGAGAGAGGGACAGACAGACAGACAGACAGACAGAAAAAATTGAGGACATGAAGATTTGAATAATATTCCGATCCTTTCTGAATTTTCATAAAATGAAAGAGCGGTGATCTCTCTACGAGACTATTTCTATATCCAAGTAGAATAACTCGTTTTTGGTCAGCCGCCTGCTGAATTCGACTTTAAATCTACGGCCCTTACTCGACGGAAAAAAAACTCTCTCATAATATTTTCAATAAACTTTAATAACAAGAAAATTCTTTTTAAGCAAGGTCTTGTTAGTAATGTAATGCTCGTACGAGTATTACATTACTAACAAGACCTTTCATAAAAAGCCATCTTAAAAGTTAGAAAGCAGCATATAATTACATTGACATCGGCATTCAAGTAGAAATCTAATAAGAAGTAGAACTGAAAAGAAGAGGGGCAAAGAGAAAGGTAGCAGAGCGCGATGAGCTACAGGTGGTTCGTCAGTCATCGATTTTCCTCGCGAGTTCTTCCCACGAGCAAAGCGAGCAAGTCTGGCAGACTTCATTTACAAATCTCAGGCGGCAGCTCGACGACGACGACGACGACGGCGGCAGCGGTACGCGAAAGAAGAACGAGCCGTTTGGCGGAACACTCTAAGTTCGAATACCAAGCCCTCATCGACAATTAGCTTGGTGTTCTACCTTACAGTGATTCGACTGCGGCACCACCTCGACCACCCACGCCAATTCTCCGCCTATACTCGCTTTCGCTTTGCGCTCGTATGCTTGCCAGTTAATGTTATTCGGCAAACCGAGTGGCAGGCGCTTTTTCCTTGGTGTTATTTTTGTATATAGGCTGAAATATTTACTCCCCAGAACGTTGCTTTTGCGTGGATTCTTCTTCGACTGCAACTGATTTTATCGCGAGATAAGGCTTTTGTTCCGTATATCGTGGTTTTGCATAGTCTCCTACAGTCACAGCGCTTTCAGATGCACTTAAAACTTGTTTGTTATTCTTCGCACGGTAATTTACTTTCTGTCGGAATTCCCTTTATAAAAATGCTAATTGATTTTCTTTCCTTTTGTCTAATGCCAGAAGAATAACTTAGTGAAATTACTTTGGTAGCTCTGGACTTTTTCCTGCAACAAATAATGAGATTGGTTCAATAAAACTAGATACTACCGTCGTATTTTCCGTATTTTCTTGTTCATTTTTATTTTGTCGCGGAAAGCAGTGCTGTTATGAGAAAGAAATTCATCGGAATGAAAACTCTGCTGCGTTATTTTTACTAAACTATGTCATCATATTCGAATTTGGAAATGTGAAAGCAACGTTTAATCAAATCATTAAAAGTGCTTCGACTTGGAAACATAGTTGTTCTTTTTTTCAGCTCTTTGTATAAATTATTTTCTTCGTTGCTCCACTCGACGGTGAAAATGAAGTAATTCCTTTGAGACTGAAATAAAACCAAGCTAACGTTTCCAATAAGTAGCCAACCTTGATGTTAAATAATAGATATCTATTATTGAAATTGATAACAAAAGGATAATATGATACGAACAATAATTTAGGAGTCTTTTCAAGTTGACAAAATTTAATTTTTTTTATTGAAAATATCAAATTGAATGTTTCTTTCTGTGGATAATTATAAAAAATTTTTCGATTCCCGAAGAATGCCATGTTTCCATCGATTTTTTTAATTAAACTATATTGTAAATAGTAGATTTATATTTAAATAAGGCCTTGTACGAATATCATAGCGATCCATATTGCGTCTTACAACATTTCTCATCCATTTGAAAACAGTTAAACTCAAGTCTAAAATTCACGCTGGAAAAAATAAGGATATTTGCTTTCCAGATGAATTTTGCACAGAGTACCCGCACAATCTAATAGCAACGCCGGGCTACTGGATCGAGTGTTCGCGCCAACAGATGAACACCGACACGATTTACGATGAGAGCGAGAGCGACCGCGACGGCACGGACGGCGAGCCACAGGAACGCGATCAGGACGAGCAGTCGTCGTCGATCAGGCTCACTAGTAACCGTAACGACTGTCTGGTCGAGGAAAATGAGGTGGATAGCGACGAGGCGCCGAGAAAGAAGTCTGCCATCGAGGAGCAGTGGGAGAAGCATCAAGCTTTCGAGCTCACGTCCGTCGAGCAAGAGACCTACGAAAAGTACTTCTACGGCACCGAGCATTGGAATTACTTCACGAACGACGAGGATCTCGGCCCGGTCATTCTCAGCATCAAGCAGGAGTCGCTGAACGGAAGGGATCAGTTTCGCATACTCGTCCGAGCCATCAGCTACACGGTGCACGGACTCATACCAGCCAGTTGTGTGTTCGCCGATAGGTGAGCTTCCTTTCCTCTTTTTTTTCAAGTTTTAACGTGCTTTTTTGACAAGCCTCCCCACTGTTAACCCATTTTTTTACTGGGCTAGAAAAATTATCGGCTGAGTTTTTTCAGTAAAACAAACAACGCGAAGCTGCTTCTTTCACTTACATCCTACATTTGCGGAGCGCTTCTTTTTTTTTCTTTTTTCTCTGCTTATCGTTGCCGATGACCACATAATGAACGAAGACAAATAAACAAAGCTCGTTACCGTGAAATTCTAAATTGATTTGAAGTATGTTCGGCTAAGCGCATTCCAGGGCGCACGTTAATTGAGACGAATAAGCGCATGGCCAGATGTATGCAGCAAACGAGGAATTGAAAGCGCTTGTTGTTGTTGTTAATTGGATAAGGTACAACCGTGAGGAAGTTGTGAGAAGTTTAGGCAAGGAGGTGAACATAAATCCACCTCTGACGCTGGGCCAGCTGCCGGACACGCCGGAGGAGCTGCTGAAACTTGACCAAGTGTTCATCAAGTCGGAGCTGAAGGTCGGCGTGATTTACGTACAGGAGGGACAGTACTCGGAGGAGGCGATCCTCGACAACAATGAAAACTCGGTAGCCTTTCAAGAATTCCTCTCGGTCATGGGCGACACCGTGCGCCTCAAGAACTTCGACAAGTATAAAGGCGGCCTCGACACCGTGCACGACCTCACCGGCCTCTACTCCGTCTACACCAACTGGCGCGGCATCGAAATTATGTTTCACGTGTCAACCCTACTGCCATACGAAAAGCACGACGCTCAGAAGGTAATCTTTGTCCGCTTTCTCTGTTTGTTCGTAAAACTGCGCGCGATGGTGCGCGAGAAAGAAAAAAAACAAAAAAAATTGGCAGGGCGCAATGAAACGAACGAGGTTACTCTCTCTCTCTCTCCCTCTCTCTCTCTTTCACAGCTGCAACGGAAGAGGCACATAGGCAACGACATCGTCTGTGTGGTGTTTCTTGAGGCTGACAACACGTCCTTCAGCCCGGCCTGCATAAAATCGCACTTTCTGCACACGTTTATCGTGGTGCGCGTGAGCCCGCGAATTAAGAGGAAAATCACGCGTTACGAGGTCTCGGTCGTCACGAAGGACGAGGTCGGCGCCTACAAACCCTATCTCTGGGAACAAAGTGTTTTTGAGAAAGGTAAGAAGAGTAAGACAAACTAAATACGGTAAATCGGATCAAATTAACCGAATAATTTCGATGCGGTAAAGGTCCGATGTTTCGCGAGTGGATAATTACGAAAATTGTGAACGGCGAGCGAGCGAGTTACTCCGCGCCAAAGTTCGCTCGAATGCAGGAGAGGACCAGGAGCCAAATGTTGGAAGACATCGTAGCTAATTTACAGAATCACGCTGAGACTGGACAAATACCTAAACCTTATCGGTGCGTTGTTATTTGGCGAAAACGATACGCTTGACGAATTGACTGATCGGTGTCGTTTTACAGGCGAGGCTCTTGGAGGCCAATCGGTCACATGAGGCCGTCCTCGCCTCTACTGGACTCGGTGAGAGACCAGTTCGAAGACTACGACCAGCTCGCCAAGGACTTTACCCGCGTATTTTTGAATAGTCCTGAAAATTTAGCCCTCAACGCGAACCTCTTCGACGTATCGTTCTTGGTACCTGGTCAACAAAAACAAAAAGTTCGATTTATTGGCGTGCGTGCCATATTAGGCGTTAGAAGCCGGTATGTCTTCGCTGTCCGCGCTCAACGGCAATCGACTATGGCTAGACTCACCTTCTTCCCTTGCGCAGGGTGTTTCAAGAGATGCTTTACGGAATTCAAGCCGGATTCGGAAGTCCGCAGGTGCCAGTGGCGGAACTGCTGTCGAGGCCGGCGCCCACGCTGCTCAGCCCGCAAAAACCCAAGAGCTCCAATTTTCTGCAGGTGCCGGACGTCGAGAGTCCTAGGTGAGTGAAGCATTTATCGAATTTTCTACTCACTCGTTGTTATTCAACGATACAACGCTAGCTTATAAGAATAATAAAGAAATGCCATTTCTATTCATGGTATTCTTCCCAAAGGTGAGATTGACGCTCACCTTCAAATTTTTATATACATACATATATATATATATATATATATATATATATATATATATATATATATTTATAATTACATATATCTGTTCAATGTTACTTTTTATATACGGCACATCCATGTCTCCTATATATCCTCACCGCACCGCATGCTACTCTTTCAAAAATTTGTATTCGTACGTTGTATTTTTTCATATTTTTAGATCGATCACCAAGTATTTCCAACTCTGTTTTACAAGTTTATTGGTGTTGTTCCATTTTCCTTTTATTCTAAATTTTGCACTGAATTTTCGAAAATTCAGCATGTGCATTATGAAATTTTTATACCTCTTTTGATGAATCTTGATATTGTTCATAGATCAGTGGTTTCTCTGGTACAAATTTTTTGTTCAACTTTCTGTTTTTTTTTATATATTTTTTTTATTATCTCAATCATATATTGGAGTTGGCACATTTTTTTTTAAAATATCGTACGTATACACTTTCTTTCGTCGATAACGATCGCATCGTCCGAGATTGAGGCGACGTGTATTCGCTGTAAATATATCGACAAATAGTGAAATTGTTATTGTTGAAAAGCAACAGAGGCAACAGATACAAATTAAAGAAAGAAGCGAGCATGCGTGATTTTCTGTTTGGCTCCGAAATCCCTAATGTGCCGTCCAGCGGTTTCTGTGAGATACTGGTTCTGATGTGTCTAGGCCTAAAAGCGTGCCCTCGTCGCCGATGGTTAAGCGAGCTTTCTCGCGCCTCGGCACCATCACCGCCAGCTGGGGTCGCAGCATGCGCAAGCACAGCAGCAATACATTGTCCAGCGACGATCGCAAGCGCTGGGCGAGCTCCCAAGACTGCAGCAGTACGTACAAGCGTGCATACATATGTATTATTCACGTATATTTGTGGGCAACCTGCGTAGTGCTTTTTGCTCTGTCCTATACAGATAAGGAGATGAAGGACCGGGACAAGTTAGCGGTGCCGAGACTCAGCGTGTGCGCCGACGCGCAAAAGGTCGACCGCACCAAATTAGCTCAGACCGAGGTAAATAATTGGCGTTCGAGGTTTCTATTTCTAATCGACTTGTCGGGATCAGCTGCAATATTCAGTCGGCCCGCGGCTGACGCGCGACGCGCTCATCTATACGCGGCTGCGGCTGTTGGCTTTAAAGCTCGATCGCGAGTAGACCGGTTCCGTTTGACCTACTTTCGAGCGCCGATCCAATGTTCATCCGCGAATCCGCGAGCAACTGGCACGCGTTGAATTGCTTGTGTTGCAGTTCGATATAATAGAATTCGACCCGGACACGTTCCGCATCCTTCTGGACTACCTGCACACGGGCTCGTGTCCGCTGACCTGCAGCAACATCCCCGGGCTGATCTGCGCGGCCGAGCACTACGACCTCCCGGAATTGCTGCAGGCGTGCTTCCATCACGCCAAGCAGTTCCTGCGCATCGAGATCGTGGGCGTGATGCTGTGCGCCCTGGAGAACTACTACTGGCGTTACACCTCGGCCTCGGAGCTCGTCAACATGATTCTCGCCTTCGTGGAGACCCGAGCTTTTCAACTCTTTCAAAGCCCGGACTTCCTCACGCTCAGCGAGTCCATGGTACAGATGATCATGGGTCGTAGTCTCGAGGTCGTGGAGATCAAGAAGTTCGAAGCGATGATTAACTGGGCCACCAACAGGACCAAGACCATGACATCCGCGGTCGACGCCAACGCTGAGTTCAAGAACATCATGGACAGGCTCAGCAGGGATCTCAAGCTCTATAGGATCACGCCGCAGGAGCTCATCAAGGTTCGATCGGACAGTTGAGTTTGACTTTCAGATTTTTTTTGGGATCCTAATGATTCAGAACGAAACTGTTGCTTGCAGATTGTGCTACCCTCCAAATCGATCAAAAATGAAAAAATTCTGGAAACTCTGATGTTCCAAGCCAACTCGGGCATTTACAGGAACGTTGATAACTATCTTGAGGCCTACCACAACAGAGTAAAACATCAAGAGAGCTTCGATGGCCGTTTGTAAGCGTAGATTCTACTACGAAGTATCTCCATTGGCTTGGCACGAGAACGACATAACAAATACCACATCCTATAACTGTGTCGCTCGCAGAAACTCAATAAATTATTCGAAAGCTTGTCAAAAATATTTTCTGCTAGGCTAACTAAACAATATGTATGAATTTCCGAAGCTAGTATAAAACTTGGAAGTCGCCGACAAGTCTGAATATAAATAGAACATGCATAAACAAATATAAATTAAGAGAACATATATATATTTAGACGCAGAAAGAAATGCACAATCCAATAGGCGTCAGGTTAAAATGTGCGACTCGCGACTACAGACTAGGACAAGCGCTCTTTTTAGTACTCCATAGTAGTACTTTAGTCAGGCGCTTGGCTTAACTTGTAGTGTAACTTATTAAATTTTTAGATTTAAGGTCAGCAGCAAAAAGTTAAGTATAGATGTATGTATTTGGAATTTGATCTGCTATGAAGTACTGGTGTGCTCATAGCTTTTTCTAACAGTGACGCGTTGTTTTTCTCAAAATTGAATGATTTCACCATCCAATTTTAGTAAGTGACTCGTAGTTAGGATCGGTTTTGTGAATAAATATTCCGTTGTAATCAAGCGAACGCCAGTACTCGATAAATACGACCGAACATGACAATCTGTGCGATAAACAAAAGAAAAAGCTCACAATAAAGCAAAGTACGATATTGCGAGAGACAAAGGCATTAATACATGAATAGCTTATAAATATATTGAATATAATACTAGTCATAAAATATTGGTAATAATGGTATTATTATGCTAATTAGAATTGAAAGAATCCATGTTGAATGTTGAATGAAGGAGAAAAAAAACAAAATTTGAAGTCTGTTCTGTTTTTTTATCGTAGATTTTATATCTTCAATACTCTAAGTCGCAGATTCTAAATGAAATGAACAAAAAATGCTACAAGTAATTGTGTAATAGTTTGAGTGGAAATAAGCGATGCTGAATAATGTCGGCTGATTGAGATTCAGATGTATTCAGAACATTAATATCACAACGTGTGATCTCCCTAAAAGTTACGATGGAGTGTTGTCGTTAAAACTTCGGCGCGTTGGATCCACGATATTAAACGTATTGTCGAGTGGTTAAATATTAATCCACTCGCGTGATGTATTTTGACAAATAAACATATCGGGAAACTCGGCGAATAGAACGTTTGTACAAATTTACTTTTTGTGTTGCAATCAAATTCAACCTGTATCGCTCCCTGTAATGCCTTGGATAAATAAATTGAGTTCAAGTATGATATAAAACTATAAACACATATGTCTCGAAGTACAATGAAAGTATAAGTGTAGAGGCGTGACTTCACTCGACGAATGATAAATGTTCTATTGGCCGGGTTCCTTCTCAAAATAAAAGTCGACAAAAACATTGTAATCTTTATAGAACTTTGAGCAAAGATACGATATTTTTTACAAAGCCACGCACTCCGTTTTATCACTGTCGACATTGTATGGACAAAAAGCACTTAGACTCACTGCAAAGTATCGAAGATTGTAGCCTTTGTCTACTTTACGATTGAGACGTCAAGGAGAACAAATAAGCAGAAAACCAAACTATCCCGTGTATCTCGATCCTCAGCTGTTTTGTGAAGCAGGCTTCGCGAGTGAAACAAACAAAATAATGTAATTATTGAAAAAAAATGAAGTGTAGAATTTCAAGAAATTCCTCAATGGGCGTTCGCCAAAGCTGTTAAGTGTCTTAACTGTTCGGGCCAACAGCTGGACAATGCTACTGAATGATTTCTAATTGTCTTCGACATTTTTATACAACATTAGACAGCAAATTTATATCGACTTTTTAGATTTCCTAGCTAAAATGTGAATATTTTTTACACGAACAAAACATATATTTCTTATCGTTCATGTTACCACATTAGTTGACACTGATTAGTTAGAATTTATTGATTTATCGGATATGGACGTAATGATATGCAGTTATTTGATTAAATTGCGCTGATTCAGCGGATTCCTACAATATGAATAACATGCAATGCAGGCATTGCGAATCGAGATGATAACAATTAAAATATAGAAACTAATTAAGCTGTGGAAATAGAAGCGATTCCGTTTCCAAAGATCTCCTCTGTAAATAAATAATGTTGGTTTGTCCAGCTGTTGTCATCTACTGTTCAACTGTACATGTCCTATGCTAAAGATATACATAAAACATACATTACAAAACTTAAACTGATGAAGAGAAGTAGGGAAAAAATAAAGCGAAAGACAACATATATATTAATATAAGGAAAAAAAATTCGTGCACCGCGATATATTAAATATGCATAAACATATCGTGCATAGACCGAACTTTCGAACCACGTAGTGGGCTAAGACGAGTGTTGAGAGCTCACCAATGACAAAGTTTTTATGAAAAATTTGATGAAAATTACGTATCTATGTAATTGTTGAACAAGCCTTTTTGTCAAAATTTTCATTGTTTCTCTTTTGATATTGATCAAACAAAATTAATCGAAATGTTCAACAACAGGAACTGATATGTCTCGCGAATAATACGCACATTCATCATATTAACTAACATTTTAAACATACAAATCACGCAAAACAGTACATATAAGTTAAAAAATTAACATTTATACGCGTGAATTATGCATATTTATTTATTGACGATAATTTATTTATTGACGCATTCGTCACTTAAAACAAATAAAACCATTTTTCCTGGGCTTTACTTTTCTGAGATTAATGTATTACTAACTTGTCATTACGCCAAGTCATATCAATAAGTATTTTAAACATTTTATTAGAAAAAAACTTACAAATTGACAAACCGTTGTACATACTACTGAAAAATCGCATAACCGATTACGTAATAGTTGTTAAAATCTTCACTGTGAACTCTCAACATATAAACAGCTGCGTCGTCTCTCAAATCATCGTTGTTAATGTTGTTACATCGTTGTTGTTGCAAATCCACAACATCATGCGAGGACTAGCGACATTAATTGTTTGAAATAAAAGAAATGATCGCATGATTTAGCAAAATGAGAACGCTGGATCGCATCTGCGTGTGCGTTATGTCGTATGCAATTTTGAGAATTATTCTTGTACGTGTTTCAACAAGAGAAAATCGTGTGAGTTTACAAGTGTATATGATTAATTACGTAAGAATCCAATTTATCTTGCAAAGTCGTTGTAAATGAACTATCGTATCTTTTACTTCGAAAAATAAACATTTCATGCCTTCATACTCTTACTGACAACTGAAATACTGCTTTTGTAAATAAACGATTGATAAATTTAATCAATAATACATGTTTTCCACAGAATTCCAAGCATGCTGGTCAAAAATTGCGTTAACCGTCTTCACGCATTTTATACAAATACATGTTCATCTTGTAATATGAAATTTCCATACGTACTTTTAATTAAATTCTTCCCTTACGTTATCGTCATGATATAAATATATTTGTCATAAGCGTTTATTATTGATACTCATTTTCAATATTGTTAAATTGAGCTAAGGTATGAAAAAAAAAATTCCTTGTACTTCTATCACGGCATGCACGAGATCGAGATCTCGGCACTCGTCGTGCTAACGCTACTCTTGCGTGGTTATTAACGGAAAAAAAAACAAATGAACTCAAACATGCTGCGAATGAACAAATAAATGACAAATGATTTTATTGTATATGAAGCTACTGTGATGTTACTGTTGAATATGAAAAAATATATATCTATATACATATGACAAAAAATATTAATCACTAGTTTTTAGTTTGATTTAAATTTATTTCCATGATTTTAAGTTTGATTCAATACTCAAGAATTCGAATCGTCTAACCATTCGACTGGATAAATTTTACATTGTTTTTGTATTTATATTTACAATCAATTATTCTGTTCATCAATCAAGGTAAGTAAACGAAATTTACTTACGTTTTCATTTTTTTTTATATAAAAGCACATTTATTTACAATTATATACTATTGGTAAGTCCCTGTACAATTCATCAATCACGTACTGATGATTGGCATAACAATCTTCTAGTTGACCTGCTTAATTTAGATTTGAAAAAATCTAGTCACTGTATTAAAATGTCATTTTCTAGCAATCGAAGCCAAAACTTCTTAATTCATGATAAAAGCCAGTGGCAGTCTCTTAAAAAAATGCTCATTACACAATATTTTTTACAAATTTGTACATCCACATATTTAGTCAAATCACTTCTGGAATTCTTCAATGGATCGCACCACAAGGTCATACTTTTATTTATTGTCTGATTAGCATTCATTCACCACTTTGCCCGAACACTCCAATCTTTAGGTGTCCAATGCAGACACTTTGGATCTATTCTAATCTTTCTCTTTTCCATAGTTGATCGATGTTGACCAATGATATCTCTGAAAAAAATTATAAAAATTTATCATTACTTCCATAGTATCCAATATTTGTTAATAACAAATATTGTATTTAATAATAATTTTAAATAAATATTTAATAAATAAATAAATAAATAAATAAATAAATAAATAAATAAATAAATAAATAAATATATATATATATATATATATATATATACACATATATATAAATATTAAATAAATAAATTATTAAATAAATAAACACTGTATTTATAACAAAATTAATGATTTAACATAATAAGGACAAGTTAGAAAAACATACTTATTTAATATAACTATGTACTGTCCTTTATGATAATTAATTAAGTTAAGATTTTGTAATGTAAAGATCACATCTTCCTTTTTAATGGAGGTAAGTTCGCAGATTTCATTGATTGTAATCTGTGGTTTTTCATTATCTAATTGAGGTTTGACATTAAGTAAAATGTCCAATATAGTATGCGCCCAGTAACTTCGATAAGACAGTAATCCTAAATCGGAAAGTGGCTTTTCCGGAGAACCCGTTTTTCCTTCAAATTTTGACAATTCGTATGAAAACTCTATAAGTAATTTCCCGTAACCTTTCCTTTGATATTGTGGCATTGTTAAAATACATGCTACATTATAATCCTCTGTTGACTCCTTTTCTTTTGAAAAATATCCAACCATGTGATACCCATGGTTATCAAATTCTGTCATCACATAAAAAAGAAATGGATCTGTATCATAATACAGTGTTTTGTGATCTAGAAACAACTTTGCTAGTAGACACAAATTTTGTGCATAAATTTTGTTTTTCCTTCCATCAATTTCAAAAACTGATATTGATCCTTTTCGATAAATTTCATTTCCAGGAGGATGTCGTAAATTGCATTTTGCTAAATGTCTCTCCAAACACTTACGACTCTTACGATATTTGAGACAAAATTCACATATGTATATACAAGCTAAATTAACCATTTCTTGTGGATATGGACTGAAGTACCATGGTCTTATTCTGTGCCGGCCAAGTTCAATAAGTTCTACATTTTTCATCCTTGTAACAACATCATCATGATGATGAGCAACTAAAGATCCTGTTGACCTAGGACCAGATGGAGTATTTGGAGTTGCTCCATCTTGTGAGTCTTCATTATCAACAAATGTGCCCTTTCTTTTTCTTGCCATTTTCTTTTGCAGTGCTGCTTGTAATACTGCTGATCCATTGACAGGTTCATTATGTACTATACTAGGACTTTGCGGTCTACTAGGTATTTGCTTTTTTGGAGTAGCTGCTCCAGTGCCTGGTGCCGTTGCTCCATCTCGCCTTGGAAACTGAACTTTTCGAGTATCTAGACAGTCTTCTGAGACCCACTCGTCCAGTCTTTTGTTGACTATTTAATGATGAGGAGATGGAAACATTATTAGATGTGATTAAAACAATCTTTCCAAATTGTCGTTTTCATATACTTACAATCTACATAATGTATGTAGTAGTATTTTAAACCTTGCTGTTCTTTCATACTGACAATTTCGGCCAGAGCTAAAAGTTTAAAATATGTATTATTTACATACATTTATCCTAACCTATAAAATATAAATATAATGTCAATTAGTTTCAAAACATTAAATTGTCACATATAAAAAACATTATTAAAAAAGTAACCTGCTGAATTTTTTTAGTTCACTGGAAAAATGACTCAAAACATTATAATATCTATGTAATGAAAATGAATTAATGAACTATCAATGTAAAAGCAAAATATTTTTAAAACAAATTGGAAACTTTAAAATAGTTATTTACATAAAATACTATAATATATTTAAATAATTTTTGTTTAACTTACGCCAATCGTCGGTACCGCTCATTCGCACTGGTAAACGACATCCTTCTACTAATGAGTTCTGAAAGTTAGGTTAAAAATATTTGTTATCAAATTTTTCACTAATTGTACTCCTTTCACTATGACCATGAGACAGAATTTTATTCGCGAAAACTTAATCTTACCACTGAATCACATATAGTCTCTTTATCGTCGTGTTCTGTGATCATTTCAATCGAAAATTTCAAAATATCGCTTACAACCATCAAGATTGTTTTGAAGCGCTCGCACTACTGCAAAAGGAAACTAGCGCCGCCACTTTAGTTTTTCGCGCTTATTTTGACGATTTGACTGAATGATTTGAGATTTGAATATCAATAATAGTACATTAACTTTTGTAGTGGCAATATTTTTAAATAAAAATAAACTAGATATATGAATTATGAATTTCATTTATTGAGTATACTGAAAATAGGCAAACTTTTCTTTTGTCTCGTTTATTGTTAGTTATTATATGACTGAATGTATAGAAAAAGCAATAAAAAAAAGTCAAATACTAGTAATGCAAAGAAAATTTCTTCTATTTAAAGCTTCTTTGAACAAAAGAACTTATACAAAATAATATAACTTTGGAAGGTAGTTCAATAATAAAGCCTTTTTTACAGAAAACTATTTTACACGTATTTTAATAACAATATAGCAATAACAATAATTTACAAGATTAATAGCTGCCTTAATATTAATGAGAAACCAATTGCTTTTTGACAATGGGTTCCTCTAATCAATGTACAAGGAGTATTTTCGAACTTGACTCATACGAAGCTATGAATATGATAAGAGTTTCTTTCATAGAAAAAAAAGTCTACATTGAAGGTATAAAAATTGTACTTATACAAAATGTTCAAACTAAAAAAACCATTAATTACGAAAGCAAATTTTCAAAATCCAAAAGTGAACACAATAAATTACTTAATGTTACATTCTCCCTTTTTTTTAAGCACGTAAACACTTTGGATCTATTCTGATTGTTCTCTTTTCCATGGCAGTACGGTGTTGCTCTATGATTTCTCTGGAAAAATTAATATTTAATAAATTAATTATGCCCAGTATAGCATTCCAAGAGAGGCAATAAATAATAAACACATACTTATTTAAAAGAATACACTGTCCTTTATGATGATAAACTAAATTAAGATTTGTCAATGTAGACATAACATCTTCTTTTTTTATGGAAGTAAGTTCACAAATTTCGTTTATAGTGATTTGTGGTTTTTCATTTCTAGTTTGCAATTTGAGGTTAATTAATATATCTAATATCGTGTGCGTCCAATAACTTCGATAGGACAACAAGCCTAAATCTGAAAGTGGTTTTTCGGGAGACCCAGTTTTCCCTTCAAATTTTGAAAGTTCATAAGAAAATTCTATCAGTAACTTGCCGTAACCTTTTCTTTGATATTGAGGCAGTGTGAGAATGCATGCTACATTATAATCTTCCGTTGACTCCTTTTCTTTAGAAAAATAACCTACTATGTGGAATCCTCTATCATCAAATTCAGTCATCACATAAAAAAGAAACGGTTCTGTATCATAATATAGCGTTTTATGATCCAAAAACAGTTTTGCTAGAAGACAAAGATTTTGTGCATAAATTCTGTTTTTCCTTCCATCTATCTTAAAAACTGATAATGAGTCTTTTCTATAAATTTCAATACCAGGTGGATGTCGCAAATTACATTTCGCTAAGTGTCTTTCTAAACATTTACGACTTTTACAATATTTCAGGCAAAACTCACATATGTATATGCATGGCAAGTTGACCATTTCTTGGGGATATGGACTGAAATACCATGGTTTTATCCTGTGCTTGCCTATTTCAATAAGTTCTACATTTTTCATTCTTGTAACAACATCATCATGATGATCAACTAAAGAACCTGTCGATCTAGGACCAGATGGAGGGTTCTGCATTTTTGCATCTTGAGAATCTTCATTTTCTGGAACAGTACTTTTTCTTTTTCTTGCTGCTTTCTTTTGTAGTGCAGCTTGTAAGACAGTTGTTCCATTAATTTGCTCACTACTTGTGATGCTTGGACTTTGCGGTCTACTAGATATTTGTCTTTTTGGAGTAACTGCTCCAGTCCCTGGTGCTGTTGTTGTTCCATCTCGTCCTGGGAATTGAACTTTTCGTGTATCTAAATAATCTTCTGTGACCCATTTGTCTAACCTTTTGTTGACTGAAAATTTTATAAAGTGTAAATATTCTTGTTGAAAATTAATTTGAATAAAATATTATTTTATTGAATATATTTTTACACACACACACACGCGCGCACGCCCGCACACACACACACATATTGCTTATGAATACTCACAGTCTACAAAGTGAACATAGTAGCATTTTACACCTTGATCTTCTTTTACACTGATAATTTCGGCCAGAGCTACAAAAGTACATAGCAATTTATATTATTTTAATATTTGAAATTGGATTTTGCTTAAAAAAATAATCTTCCTGAAAATATATCCTAAATAAAGGGTATTTCTTGTAGTTGAACTTATAACAATTATTTAATCACTGAATAGCATGAATCCTTAAAGTGATGTTGTAAAAAATAATGAAAAAAAAAAAAAACTGTATGCATGTCACGGAACTTTGTCAAAGAAAAATCACTGCATTACAAAAAAATAAAATAAGGATAAGCATAAAACTATAAAATTAGTGAATACGTGGTATAAACTAGCAAAAAAAATTGACAAATACTCACGCCAGTCGTCCGTTCCATTTGCTCGAACGGGCAAACGACATCCTTCGACAAGGGAATTCTAAAAGTGAGGTTAGCATTATTCTTTATGAGTTTACACAAACAACAAATAGTGTCGTCAATAAACGATGGTAAATATTTGATAGTAGTAACCAAATCTTACTACTGAATCGCATATTGCATCTTTATCGTCGTGTTTCTCAATCATTTCAGTCGAAGTTGCCGGAATAACACTTCCTAACCAAAATTGTTTTGAAGCGCTCACTGGCGCTCGCAGCACTGATGCCACTGATCGCCGGACCGGACCCCGGGATTAGCATCAGCGCACCTAGCGTGAGGTTAGGTATTTTTGCGCTTTTTTCAAATTAAATGTCAAAGTCTGTAAGGAATAGTTTAACGTGTTGAACTAGTTGTTTTTAGTTATTTTTCTGCATGGTGTGCAGAAAATTCGTATCATTCACCCACATTTCTCGTGGAAAGAAGCCTGAAACTGCACGCGCTTGACCAACGTTATTGTTAGATTTAAGCTCTGCAATTCAAAATATATCAATTTCAGAAGAATAATTTTTAGATGAAAGTTGTTTCTTAAACAATTATCTAGAATAATGTTTGCTAAAGTACCACTCTAGATACGTTAGTTTACTTTTAAATTAAGAAAAAGCACGAAGTCTTCAAAATCATTTCATATTATATTTAATTTACAAATACAATAATGATTTTCGAATGGTATCTAGACGGACTTTTTTTGGAAAAAACGAATGTTGAAATAATACACAATGAGCCGTTTTACCCAAGCAACAATCTTCATGCGTCCGGGAATCATCTTCGTTGTACTGTCATATCTGCGGATCATCGATATGTCTGTAACTTTGTGATCTTTTTTTATACGTAGAAACTTGAAGAAGCTGCGCCCATTTATTTGAACGTACGATATTTCTATGTAATTATAGGCTGCTTTTGTCAAATATATAAAAATATATGACTGGTTGAAATGGAAATTGTTTGTAATCTAAGCATTATAAGGTTATCGTAATATTACTAAATCAAAGCTAAGATTAAACCATTTTGAAAGAAAAAAATTTATAGACAATATCAAACCGTTCTAAGTAATCTGTTCCAAATTTTGTGACATTAAAATATCATAAAATAATTAGCCACTTTTCTAAAAAAAGTATTTTGTTAAACATTTTATCTACAAATTTGAATATAATATTTGTATAATTTTTTTTCTTTCGAAATAGTTGGATCTTAGTTTTTATTTGGTAATATTATGGTAATATATAATTCTTATATAACAAGCTATTTTCATTATAAGAGTCATATATATTTTCACATATTTAATATAAATAAAAATAAAAACAGAAAGATCGAGCATGAATGAGCGCGGTTTCTTACATATAGTTTTAGATATAAAAAGAGATTTCAAAGTTATAGCTGCGAAGGTTATAGGCAAACAGTGACCCCCGATGTAACTCTCCTTGTTAGTCGATAACCAATAGAGCGTTAGCAGGTATGTCGTTGCAGTGAGAATGTAGATAGTCGTTAGTATTTATTGCAATAAACATTGGTGTTTTCTGTCAACTACATCTTCAAAATCTGTACAAGACTAGCGCAATGAAGTAAAGAGGTAGAAAAGGATAACGTATTTCATCTACGCTTTGTAAATCTAGCAACTATCGGCGGTATCACTGCAACCACGTGTCCATTAATAAGGTCGGAAATCCTCCGCACAACGTAATGGACGATTCCCACACGCGTAAAGATTGACACTTGGGCAAAGCCGCTTGATGCGTAGCATTTCAGTATTTTCTTTCCATATTTAGTTATGCAATTTGAATAATAATAATTTTAGTAGAAATATTGTTTTAGATAAAAGTTATTCTTCACTTTAAATAAATTAGTTTACTAGTAAAAAGAAAACGCACCGAATCTTCAAAATCATATGATGAATTTATAAATAAAATAACGATTTTTGAACAGTACCATCCTAGACATTTTTGTTGATAATCTGTTAAGGAATAACTTTTATCTAAATCTTTTTCCGATAAAATTATTTTTTAAACCGCAAAAGCTAAATATGAGAAAAAATGCTAAGATTCAAGTATAGTTGTATATCGTTGATTCGCTTTACCAAATTAACGTGTATCACTATTAAATGAACGATAGATTATTATTGTTGTAAATTTTTTTCGCCGTGATCAAACTTTCTATAGCTTGCGTGGAAAAATAATGTGTGTAACGTGCGCCGCTTAAACTGTGTGCTTGATCGTGTATCGTGTACCTTATCCACAATATCTCAATAGATTTATTTTGAAATTCTTGGAACTGGAAATAGAGGATGTTAACCGCTCGCAATTATAAAATTCTTGTCAGTTTTGATTAATTAGAATTAATTATATTTGAAAAAAATATTGATACAAAATATTCATAACTATAATTATTTTGATAATTCAGCGGATATTTTCGTTTTTGCTTTTCTTATCGTATGTCAATGTAACGGCCTTTCAGTCCCGATGAAGGGACATGAAGAATTTGCCAAAAATTATATCCAGTCATGGTAATGCAGGGATCACTGTACTTACATTTGTCGATTAACTTTTTAATACTAAATTATTTTGTTCTGTATTTACTTTATTTACTTGCATTTTTCTATTCGCAGTTACAATCTTGTATTGATCAAAACATTATCTTTTAAATTGATTGCAATTATTAAGATAAAACTTTTGTATAAACGTATCTATCTATAGTTTTTATTTGTATCGATGTATAGTACAGATACTGTCTCAAAACAAATGTCCATAAATGAAATTTGGAATTCTAGCTCTTACAGAACTGTTAAGTAAAGTAACTATAGGTTTTATTTGACTTTCCGATGGAATTTCAAATCAAACTTCCGTCAACTTTCGCAGCAAGTATGAGAATACCAAAGCGTGTATGTAATTTTCCAATGGCCTGGAGCTGTTAATATTATTCGAATGGAAAATAATTGAGCGACAGTTTCGCATTCGAAATTTGGTTATTGGCAAGTCGATTAAAACTCGAAATATCAATGGGATCAGTATTCTTATTAGTTTGTTAATTGAACCAAATAACATAATAGACGTTAGTTGCTAAACGTTCATCGCTGACAAAGAGATGTAAAGCGGCAGAATTGCATCGGTGTCGGATAAGCAGCGCACGTAAAGCCAATAATGAATGTCGGGTCCTTATCTGAGGCGGGCCTGGCAACACGTGCCCACTGGCAAGAAACAGCCAAGGAAAAAAAGCTTTCGGGTGGTTGGATATCGCGGAGGTCCATTAATCTTGAGGGCAAGCAGCGAGCAAGGTATAAGTAGAGCCGGGGTGGAATTTGGGAGCTCGGTCTCGCTGCTTACGGTCCTGGCAGGCAGGGGTCTGAACCGTCGCGTGTGGGGGCTCGCATGTGTGCGCGACGTACGCGGCAAGGGCGTGGCCGTGCGGCTGGCCAATCGCGAGCGAGCGAAATCGAAGAGAGAGAGAGAGTAAAAATTTTAGCGGCCGTGTCAAACGTCGAGGAGCGAGCGTAAGGGGATCAGCGCTGATCTCGGCTTACATTTTCTCTCTCTCGCTTCCGTGCGCGCCGCGGCCTTAGGGCGCGCGAGCGTGTGTGAGCACTTTTTCCTTCCTGACAGCCGCCAGCGCCACCCCCTCCTCCTCCTCCTCCTCCTCCTCCTCCTCGCCATCCGCTTGCCACCCACCACCATAGACTTTCGTCCCCGAGCGCGAAGAAGCCTTTCTTGGGATTTGCCCTCGTCAATCTCATCTCTGCTCGCGCGATTCCTTTGCGAGCCGGCATCTCTCCTCCTTAGGCGTACCCCACTCGCGCGCACACTAGACTTTTTCTTATTATTCTTCTTGGCCCTCCTCGCTGTATGCCAATTTTTGCCGAGCGAGCGCACCCTCGTGTCCTGATCGACTTATCACTCATCCTTTAACGGAACCAACAAACTACTTTTTATTTGCTGCTTGCAGCAGCACTCCATCGGATAATTTATCCTTATTTACTGTGCTCTCGACAAATCGGATAGTTCTTACGAGGGCGCTCATTATATCGCGCTGAAATTGCATTTGCTTTGAGCGCAGCTGTATTTGGCGGCGCTCATCAACAGCATCGATACGTGCTGGCTTGCACCTAACATTGCTGCAGATATTTCGGAAGGCCGTGTTCATTGTTGCGAAAGTGTGTTTTATCGAGCAATCAAGCAGACGGATTCCCGGCCGTAAATCGCGGCAGATAGCTAGGCAGATTTTTCCGCTGGATAATTATTTGTCGCAACGTGTGTGCCGCGGCAAGGAGGAGAGAGGAGAGGAGTATCCCAGGCATTAGGTTGTCTGCCTACGTAGCAACGGCAGCAGGAGAGCACGGAGGGCGTCCTGAAAATTGCGCACCTCGGAGAGTCTGCATTTAATAGCCTCGCTCTCTCGCGGCAACGGAGGCCCTGCCATTAGGAATCCCACAAGGCCTCGTCGCCCGGGCTGCTTCTCCCGAGACTGCGGTCTAACTTTGCCCCCGTGCAATTTATGCGCGCCACACTGCGCCAAGCCTGCCTGCCTCTCCGCTCCCTCCCCAAGAGCTGACTGCGCTAAAATCATTAGAAACAAGCAAGTGTGTGCTGCGCCGCCAGCCCCACTCTCTGCTCTCTCTCTCTCTCTCTCTCTCTCCTCTCTCTCTCTCCTCTCTCTCTCTCCTCTCTCCTCTCTCCTCTCTCTCTCTCTCTCTCTCTCTCTCTCTCCTCTCTCTCTCTCTCTCTCTCTCTCTCTCTCTCTCTCTCTCCTTCTCGTGCTTCTATGCTGCCTCGGCTGCTGCGCAGAATCCTTTCGCGAGCTTAGATGTGGGCCGAGCGCTACCCGGAAATCAATAGCAACACGTATGGACGCCTCGCGGCCCTCTGCGACACCCTGCCCCGCTCGCACGCACGTCCGCCCACAGCTCGACCGATACTACTCGCGACCCGCTGGTCCATGCAGACGCGCAGCTGCAAACAAAGCGAACGCGTATGCACTCTCGCGTGCGCGGGTACAAGACTAAATTAGTCAGGAAGAAGTCGACCTTCGCGCGCCGCGTCTAAATTTGCAAGCGTGGCTCCACACAAAAGCTCTCTCTCTCTCGCGTGCGTGCGTGCGCTTCTCTCTCTCTCTCTCTCTCTCTCATCTCCTCTCTCCTCCGCGCAAGCTTCAAAGAGAGGCTGGAGGAAAAAAAGAACGCGCGAGCTGCACGTGAAATTGTCGTGCTCCCTTTCGCGGCGCCGGCCGGCTGCTTAAAATT